ACACCATGGCACTTTGACTACACCCGGTTCAGAAAAGTGGCTACGATCTCTCTCTGTCCATTTAGTAGCAATGTATCGAAAGTAAGCGATAAGAGAGGAGCTACTAGGGGAAGGAGTATCTGCAAGGACACGAAGGGCGGCTTCCTGATTATCTAGGCAAACCGTAATATTTGTGGCGTATCGAGCCATCGGATTATGGAGGACGGCACTTAGGCCTTCAGTGGCCCCGGCTATTTCTGCATCGTACACTTCGGCAGATTCTCCGAGAGGAAGGGTCCCCTGCCCAACTATCTGTGCAAGGCCCCGCTAGATAACATATCCGGACCCGGCTCTATCCTCTGAAAGGGCACCGTCAGAGAAGACGAATAGATCCAAAGGGGGTTGAGATGCTTGCCATCTCATGAATTCTTTCCGGCCATTTTTTGAATGTCTTAGACTTGTGTAGGATGTATAATTTTAATTAAAAAAATCCCCACATGATCAACATGTTAAAAATAAATATCTCAAATATCCTGATTTGGCGCCATTAGGTCCATGAAGGGATTTTTGGAATGTAAGTATTTTGGGTTGGATGTCTAAGTTTGACGTTTGGAACACTTACACTGAAATTGTATTCGCTGATACGACTCGCGGTTAACCCTCACGACCTATAACCTCTTCTGTGCATATCCACCACAGGGAAAAGTTTGAAAACTCCATGGTTATCCAAATGTTCGTTCGTCATCCCACAAAGACGATATCACTGCGAGAGAATGTGATGTATGGGTCTTGCTGGATTCGAACCAGCTTTCTCCTGTCTCGAAAGGGGTAGGTGTTCAGGCTACCCAGAATCTACATGGGAGAATAGCCCGGGTAGTGTACAGCTGTGCCATTCAATCCTAAAGTCAAGTCTACACGTCTAGAAAACCCGAAGTTGATGTATCTGAGTACAAATTCCACTCCAGCAGCGCCACCACACACTTGAGCCCTTGATACCATCAAATTATTCAATTATTCCCTTCTATGAGAACCGAATACAAACTCGTCCCGGTATTTTTTCATCTTATCCGAATATTTTTCTCTTCATTAGAGATCTTATCTAGTCACCCACCATGCCCTTCTCCATTTATCTTTCTTTTTTCTCCTAAATTGTAGCTGCTCAATATTTTTATCATTCAATCATCTCAAAAACTCTGAGAGCTGTCTATCCCTCCGGCCTCGCCACATTACTACCGTATCTCTTTCCTTGGAGGCTAAATATACTCCAAAGGGGTCATCAATAAAGTAATTGTGCCTCGGTTTATGTCGTATGTATTTCGTCAGTGAGAATTTGTCGCAGGTTGTGTTTTGGTGCTCTTTACCAAGGTGGCATCGAATTTGAGGCCATAGCTTTGACTGTACCTTCACGGCACACGCGGTAGTTGCAGAGAGATAGACACCTTTTTGTATCTAAGACTATGATTCTGACTTTTTAACTTAGGAGTGCTTCGGTTGGTGTTGGTATGATATTTGAGAGGTTCGCGAGGTGGGTTTAAACGTAGAATATCTTCCAGGAAAACTAAGATAGTGATGAATTTCAATCGTTTGATTACGAGTCGAAGACAGGTTGGAACCGAATTAATGCTCGTATTTGGGGTGTAGATGAGTAATTTCGTTGGAATATACCATCTCTGCAGGTCAAGTCTTCGACCAAAGATTTGCCAATGCTGCTCCCCTCAACTGCTATCCCGGAGAAACCCCTCACAGATACTCTTTGCTATAATCGACTCACAGCTCTGGGAAATTGTTTTAAGCTCAGATTCATGGAGGGCACCACTGACGGGTGCTCAACCTGCGTCTCGTTAGAAATCATGACTACAAACACCATGCGAAAATTGCTTGGATTTCCTGCCCGGATTATGTTTTGTTGCATTACCATACAATAGAGGCATCTAGAAGATAGTGTGTTCTATCTATGGGTTAAAATCGATTTGTTGATTACTTCACGTGACTCGATGATTTACCAGATCTAGAACTGAGCACCGATCGCTTAGGCCTTGCATTTCCTTGTACTAGCGTCCTACCTATGCAGAGTAGCAAATGTGAATTTAGATCGTCTACCGTGCGGCAGATTATTCAGCAGATCAGCACTGCCCCTAGAATAATTGATAGCGCTTGACACTATTATCAACTTTTGAGATGACCTGTCCACAATTATCTGAGCGTAGTAGCAGGTAGTGGTACCCCATCCTTGGCTTCTCAAGCAAAAGCTATGGTCTCGAGATAATTTGGAAACTTGAGGCACGATTGTAACTTCACATCTTTTTCTTTGATATTGTGTCATAGCTAGATAGCTGCATACGCAATTAAAATCCGATGCAGAAAAAAAAAAAAACTTCACATCTTCACCACCCTGAGAAAATATTGTTCAAGCGAGCTTCACATCCATTGGTTCGAAGCCCCGTGGTAGGATTCTTGTAGTTCGCCGGGCTAAGGCTCGCAGTTCTTGCTGAACAAAAGGTAGTGGACACGCATATTGAAGTATCAAAGTTTGTCTGAAAAGCGACCGGAACACGTTAAGTAAATTCCTTTCGGACCACTAGAATAATCTCATGCGAACAACACACGGCCAATATGTAGACTCCGTAGACGTTGTGCTGGAAAGACCGAGGACCATACTTGTTTCGCCCGGGCTTGACATGATTGTCAAGATCGATTTTAATGTGTGTATACTATTGGTTTGAACCTCAAGGGACTGCTTCAAGACCCACTTAAAGCCTTCATTTTGACTTATTATGAGGCTGTGCGCCGTCTCATGTCTCACTCTTGCTGAACAGCACCGGACGCCTCGGCTGAGCCCATATACCCAAATGATCTTCGTCAACTGTGCCAACAAACCGTAGTACAATTCAGATACTCGTTAACTTTCTTGTGACGCCTCAGAGCAGTTTCAAGCTATGTCTAAACGTCTCGTACAGTTATCCACAAATTGAAGATTACATATCGCACCAAATATTCACTATTTCTTTGGACTTTGCACTAGAATTTCATCCATTCCCATTTCATAATTGCACATTGATGTGGTTTGATTTGATATCATAAACGAGACTGGATCAAGCCGTAAATTTCTGGACAGATCATGAGATACTACAAGCATTTGATATTTTGACATCAATAAAACTAGGGAATAACTCACGAATTGCGTAAGATATCTTCTTGGGGAATTGGTAGCCCCATTCACTACCATTGGAATACGGAGGCACGGCAGTAATTGTCGCCAGACTCTGCGCTCCCATGTCCTTTTCCCATCTCTTTAAAGCTGAAATTATATAGAAAGATTTGATCAGATGATGCCTGATATATTCAATTATAAAACCTAATCCCGCCCTTTTGGAACTTGTTGTTGTCTGGGTAATGTAAGCGCTAATTCGCCTTTATCATCCGAAGTCTTTTTAGGCCAAGCTTTTTGACTAAATTCCTTCATTCCACAGGCAAACTAATTGATAAGAATCTCGTCCTGTGGTTTTAACTAAACAGAGCACCTGAATCTCTGAAAATGATTTGACATCATTCGTAAATTAATAAAGCTAGGCCTGGATTTTGACCTGGAAACCTGGTACCTAGTTGGCCCAATCCCCATTGGTGACAAACTATAATGCTCAAAATCCATCCTGTCAATGTGAACGCAAACAGCAAAGCTAAATATATAGTGTCGAGCTTGTTCTGACTCCGGGATGCTATTTTTCCGTAGTTTTTACTGGTGACAGCAGAGAATCATACAAGCTAAATGCTACTGTGGAAAAGAATACTGCTAAAAGACACGGTGACACTTTCAGTTAATTTTAATGTATGACAGTTGCTATAATAAAGATTCACTTTTAGATCTAGGCCGCTAAATGGCTATGGTGTTTATATAAAAGTTCACACAAGTAGTGAAATGAAAACAATTTAATAACCTGTACTGAGATCCCTATCTAGAAATATACAGGGCATCTGTAGCTAGAGCAGATGCAGTGACAATTCTTTCTTCGCGTTTCACCCTCCGAACGTATGTGCATACCAACTTTATCATTGGTACCCTGGAACAAAAGATGACGTGAAAGACTTTCACTTCCTCAATAAATTCATTGAAATCTAATAAATTCTCTTTTAAAATATCAATTGATTATCTCCAGTTGGGCATGAGAAAACTCATCATTCTTTGAGGGCATACTTAAATCAAGGATGGTAATGTTGTTGTATGAATTTTGCTTCATGAAGACGTGGAATCGCTCAGGCCCTTGGCGTATACGGTCTCTGCGTGAAATGCATTTAAAGTCCCGTGCGTAACGAATGCCGAGGTTATCGACTTAACTGGGGATATAAAACTGTACCTTGCGGTAATCTTTTAGACATGGTCTCGAAAACAAGCAATAGGCACTGCAGTTTTGATAGAGAGGATTATTACAAACTTAGAATTAAAAATGTTAACCTGCTATCAACGTTGTAAGATAAACGCCCAAGCATCTGTAGATCGTAGCTCGTGAAAACTAGATAAAAAGTTGCAAGAAAGCAAGGTGAAAAGAAAACTCATTAGAAAGCCTAACCGGTTGTAAGACGATTGTTTTATTTGAATTTGTAGTAGTATCACCGTAAGTTTTTTTGGTTCCTTGTAGTTGTATCCTTCTAAAGTTCAGAGTGTCACCAATGAATAGGCCTCACGAAACAACTCTTGGACTGTTGAAACCCCATAGTATTCCTTGCCAGCTTCCCGGGTAGTGACTAACAAGCTAACAGGACCTGGTAAAAGCGGCGACAAGCTTTTCCTCACCTCGCCTCCTCTGAACACAGCTGTTGTAGGCCCACACAACACCTCTATTAACACTTTCCGCTCGACCCATCCTTTCTATCTGCAAAATCTCCCAACACTATCTTTCTTCGCTTCACTTCTACCATCGACCAAGCTCCTCTTTTTACCTCCACAACTAATCTACGCTGAACGCTACGGCGAAATTTCCCATTCACTATATCATCACAACGACAGCTTAACCTAGATAGTCATCATGGAAGGTATGGTAAATGATAAACTCATAGCGTCTGCTATTGAGAGTCAATCTCCTCAGATATCATGAGCTAACACTACTCTAATTCTCAGAAGAAGTTGCAGCCCTCGTTATAGACAATGGGTAAGCCAATGCTCTTTTAGCGCCCAGCTGATCGAATTTCGAGCGAGCTCTGAGCCTCGTCCTCTGTTACCTCTCGATTTAAAAATATTTACCAATACTGCCAAATCTTATTTGCTCATGTATCTAACAATGATAGGTCGGGAATGTGTAAAGCTGGTTTCGCTGGCGATGATGCTCCGCGAGCTGTTTTCCGTAAGTTTGTGACTATCTACATACTTAAACAGAACCCTCATCAAACTCTTTCATGATTGAACAAAACGGCAGTTAATAAGACCTGCAGCATCTATCGTCGGTCGACCTCGTCACCATGGGTGAGTCTGCCCAATTTTGTTAATAAAATTTCAGGAAGTTCGTTTCACTGACAAATCTAGCATCATGATTGGAATGGGCCAGAAAGACTCATACGTTGGAGATGAAGCACAATCTAAACGTGGTATTCTGACTCTTAGATATCCCATCGAACATGGTGTTGTCACCAACTGGGATGATATGGAGAAAATATGGCACCACACATTCTACAACGAATTACGTGTTGCTCCAGAGGAACATCCAGTTCTTCTCACAGAAGCCCCTATCAACCCCAAGTCGAACAGAGAGAAGATGACTCAAATTGTTTTCGAGACTTTCAACGCCCCAGCCTTCTACGTTTCCATTCAGGCAGTTCTTTCCCTCTACGCATCAGGTCGTACGACGGGTATTGTTCTTGACTCTGGAGACGGAGTCACCCATGTTGTCCCAATTTACGAAGGTTTCTCTCTTCCACACGCCATCGCCCGTGTTGACATGGCTGGTCGTGATTTAACCGATTACCTTATGAAGATTCTAGCTGAGCGCGGCTATACTTTTTCCACAACCGCCGAGCGAGAAATCGTTCGTGATATTAAAGAAAAACTTTGTTACGTTGCTCTTGATTTTGACCAGGAAATACAGACCGCCAGCCAGTCATCTAGCTTGGAAAAGTCCTACGAGCTTCCTGACGGCCAAGTCATAACTATTGGTAATGAACGCTTCCGAGCTCCAGAGGCTCTATTTCAACCGTCTGTCCTCGGTCTCGAAAGCGGTGGTATTCACGTGACAACTTTCAACTCTATAATGAAGTGTGACGTTGATGTCCGAAAAGATCTCTATGGTAACATTGTCATGGTATGTAATCTATAAGCTTATTATAGCTATGATGAATAACATTAAAAACAGTCTGGTGGTACTACAATGTACCCTGGTATCTCGGATCGGATGCAGAAAGAGATTACCGCATTAGCACCATCGTCGATGAAGGTTAAGATCATTGCACCTCCTGAAAGAAAATACTCTGTATGGATTGGTGGCTCTATCCTGGCTTCATTGTCAACCTTCCAGCAAATGTGGATCTCTAAACAAGAGTACGTTATAATGTCGTGTAATGTGTTTGAGAAGACTAACATAATTCGATAGATACGATGAGTCAGGTCCTTCAATTGTACACCGAAAATGTTTCTAGATGGCATCCCTATGGATGTAAAGTACTGGAGGAGTTGATCTTTGTAGGGGGGTAAGAGACGTTGGAGTGAGTTTAATTTACTCGGTAATGCCAGCGTCTTTTGCCTATTCTCGGAACAAATGTTAGGGTAGATAGTCTAAGAATAAAAGTCAAGCATCTCCCAGAACCTAGTCTCCATTCCCAATTGGAAGCCATTACAAGAGATTTAGCCGACCTATATCTTCTTGTAACTTTTGATTTGATTCGCAATTATTGGTCCGTACTGCGTTATCGCTCATGCAAATAGCATATTCCCGTTTTGAATAACGTTAACAGATTATCATAGCTATAGTCTCTGGTAGACCGAGTTCTCAGATATGACAGGTAAATGGATAGACTAAGGAACAGCTCTTTACGAAAATGTCCCTTGAACCAATAGCAAATTACTACTATTTAGCATCATTGTTCCACATTTGCATATTAAAATCCTAGAAAATTTTAAAGTGATCTGTGTCTAACTCTAACTCCGGCTTTTTACAAACAACACATTGCCGGCATCTCTTTCGAAAAAGGCTCGTGACTTGCTGGTATAAGATAAACAAACGACTTGTTGATATACACCGATTAGCGTCGATAAATGCGACATCGATAGACGTCAAAAATAAAGCCCTGTATTATCGAGAGATTGAAAAATAATACCGACTCAGAAGGCATCCATTGAACGATAGAAAGCCTTGTCTGTTGCAAAAATTACTCTGTCAAAATAACCTTAAGAATGTTTTCCACTATGGATTTTACTATAATCACCATCAATTTAAAAGCTAGTAGGATAAACTAACAATGTCATTACTGCCTATAACAGACCAAGGTTTTAGACGCGCACAAGCTCTCTAGTTACTAAATTTGAAGTACTTCTTTTCCTGCCATTGTTCAACTTTAAAAAGTGTCTACAGCATAGAGTGTACCTAATGTCACGGATTCGGGAAATAAAATTTTGAACATGTAAATTGCATATGTTGGTCACCTTTTTACCGTAGTAAGTCTTACGGCAATATCACTAGATACTTTGATGGATAACATCGCCAGTTTCAGCTACTCAACTTGCTGATGAGGTAAAATAAAGTGGTTATTCGACAGGAATTCAGTCACCAAAAGACCATTCCATGAAATTTATCAAGATTTATTGAGATCCTAGTTTAGACTATGCAGCAGGTGCGTCAGGTATCTGCTCTAATTGCACATAGAGCTTCTCATGTATCTCTGGATGAGCTGATCACCAATTTTCGTTCACGCAGCTCAATTATTTTCTCGCATGATTTTATGAAGACAATAGGTCTGTAAGTCTTGTAGAGGCAGGTATTTAATTCTACGTGTTTTTAGCAAAAATTCGATGCTTCATTCGTTGTACTACAATACTAGGGTCATGGTGGACTGGATTGTCTGCCATGAAGGGACATCATCTATCCAACTTCATCGTCAGACTTTAGTAGACAGTATGAATATATTAAAAAAATATAAATCTAGATGAATATCCTGCACATTTGGGAAAGTTGGTATTGTCTTTATCTTCATTTACGTCTCAGCTCAAATTAGAATGCTGATAATTTTTGGAATGTGCCTGCTCTCTCAATCCAAATCTTTATCAGGAACTGGATTTTAATTCATTCATGGGGACGTACGCCTTTAAGTAGATCGCGATTTAGGCTTAGGTACCCACTACAATCAAGACTGTTAAAGACGTTATCAATAGATAACCAGGATAGGAAAATAATGGCGAGAATTGACTATCAAATATTCCCCTGTTATGGAATCGAGAACAGGCACGCCAGTAATCGAAGGCTAGAAATTGAAGGATGGACCAGAATCTGTGGCATGCAGACAAAAAGATGCCGGTAAAGTGGCCGCATTCCAGGAGTGGAAAACACATTGACATGTACAGCGAACAAGATACCATCTGGTCATCGAGCTTCGGCAGACCCCGAGCACTGGAAAGTCGCAAATATTGTTACAGATGAGACAGCAGGCAGAAAAAGGATTACCTGTAGAAACATACCCTCAAATATCCACCGGAAGCTTAGCAGGGCCCAAACCAGTGTTGCAATTCAGATGTGAAGTGAGCACATTGGTCTCAACTCTTATCTGTATCGAAGGAGAGTCTCCGGTGTGATTAATCCAAAATACCAGTGTGGATATCCGTCTCAAAATATGAATCATATGATCTTGGAGTGTCATCAGTGGGCAATGGGAAGAGAAGAAGTGCTTTGAAAGGCAAAAGATAGGTCCTTTACGGCAATGATGAACAGCCATGATGATATGGAGAGAATCACAAAATGGATCCTGGCAAAAGGCTGGTTTGAACAATTCCGGCTTGCAGGAGAAGTAGAAATTGCATCGGACGAAAAGATGAGACGATGTGGACAGGGATAGGATGGAATTCACACTGTATGAACAGTATAAACGTACTTCTTGTAGGAAACCTCGGAAAACCAATAGACACGAGACAAAAGTTTTAGAGGGCTTTTACCGAATTTGGTTTCCTCCAATGTAGATATTATAGCCAGATATATTTGCATGGGCTGAATGAAATAATTTAGATTTGAAGCACTAGAATTTTTCTTACATCACTCCTTGTAGCTAATGTTCTCAAATACTCTACCAAGTTATTAGCCAAGAGTTGAGGGCCGAGCTCATCATGAAGTATACTGATTTAAACTAGAAGCCATTAGGAGAGCCCCGCACCCAGTGGCTTTTTTGAGAATTTTCTCTGCGGCTCCAAACCTGCAAATGGCAATCGTTTCGGTGGCTTGAAAGGGGAGATAATGACGGGGTAATGGCTCCTCTGAGCGCGTACTCAATTGAAGACCTGTGGGGGTATTACTGCCTGAAAGAGGTTATTAAGGAGGTATAAATCTCCTTGCCTGTAGGCAGAAAGGACCCATATACCCAAATACAGACAAAGACTCTTTCTAGGGTCAACATTTCACCTACACATGTAAACTAAGCTAGATAGGTCACATGACCTTCATAGCAGTACATAGATTTCATCTTTTTTTTATTTTAAATCATTTGATGTGTATTCAGCTATCTAGCTATGACACATGACCCGTGCTATGTATACATGTTGGATGACTCTTTTGACGTTAGAGACACTCATACTTCTTACAGATTTCATCTGTAGCCACTGTGCACTTTAGTCAACATTTACTACGCAATACCGTGTCCCACGTATCTTTCTTAAGAGACCCAATAGGACAGTAAACACTCACTCACTCGGCACTGGTAGATTTTCAGATTTTATCAGCGCGAGATTTATTATCGACATGCTAGAGAGTCTCTTTAATCCTAGTATTATTTGACGAGCTATGAACATGGGACATCGGCTATTTGAAGAATGATTTAAAGCGATAAGATTGGGCCATAGTTACACCGCCATTCTTTATTAGTTGATCTCTCAAACGCAGTGAAAAGCCCTCTCTACTACCACATGACTCTAGCTTTTCCGAATGAGTTATTTAAGAAAGGTGGTCGAAGAGACTATATGATGAGTAATGCCAAGGCAGTTTCTGACCTACTCAAGTATAGCAAGCGACTAAACTGTATGTCGAGGTGCTCGTGGTTGAGGGGTTAAAGCTGCGGATCTTCCAGGGCCTTTGATTTTGGCTAGGAGAACCGATAGGAACTTCGAAAAGGCATATGTTTGTCATCGCCGCTGCGGATATACAAGTAGCTGGAAGATTGGAGGCGTCAGCAAACCTTATCAGTCTTCTTTCCGAGTCACTACTGCTGCCTCTATAATAATGGCATGCATTGATAATGGTTATTTCACAATATCTGAGCGTCGCTTCCAGGTTTATGTTCGTATTTATTGTTCTATAGGGTCTATGACTATGAAGGACCCTGTGAAGGATTTCATAAAGATGAATCTAAGGGTCTACGTACCCGATAGGGAGTATAGAATGTTCTCATGTGGGTCAGGATGAGAGTCGAGACTAGTCTCTGCAGACGAGATATAGACAGGAGAGGACGCGGCAGATAGCTTCCCAAGGAAAAAGTTAACAATATTCATCGCGTTACCGACTTTCAAGTACATCTGAATTCTTTAAACTGTCACAACCCATCGGTGAATCGAATTCTGATTTGCTGAGGGCGCAAGGGTCTTTTACTTTGCTTTCGAGGGATTTTGTTTGCCTGCCGGTGGGTAGTATATGCTTGAGTATGATAGGATTCTTCAACTACCGTTGTAGCTTTGATATCGCAATATCCTTCTTCTTATCCAGTGTCATAATCATTTTGAGGATCGAGGTGGGTGTTAACGCAGACGAATCTTCAAAGGAGGGGAAAATAACTCAAAGTTGAAAAGTTGCGCCTCAATTTTAGCTCTGCAAACTCTGAGATAGGAGCCAGAGGTTCGTAGGAGACACTGCTGACACTAGGTAGATTTTCATCACCCTTTGCAGTCTATTACTACCAGGTGTTTGTTTTGTTTTATGACACGCCTACCTATCCAATAAACTAGCTCAAAATCAACCCGAGGCATAGTCTATGCGATCTATCTTTGGTGCTCTAAACATAATATAAAAACTCGAAAGTTTTACGCACCAAGCTAGCTAAACATGTATGCTCTATTTATCCAAATAGTAACATCTCGGGTCCCAGCTGTCTTCTCAAAGATCTACTTAATATTGCCGCGAATATTTCAGCACGTTAGTGGCATTTATGTCAATTTCTCAATTTGATATACAAAATATGGTGCTGCAAAACTTCTTGTATCTGATAGTCACACAGGATCACATTTTTCGCTTGTATCGACAATGGTGAGCCGAAATAGTGTCGAGGGCCAGGCAAAGATTTATTTGAAAATTGCCTATAACCCGGAGTTTAAATTTGAATTCAATTATCCTAATTTATCACCCTGTAGGTTCATGCAGGTGCCTATGAACTGTAATATTTACGTGGGGGGGAAACCATCTGTTGAAAACCACCCAAAAATCTCTGTTTACTGTCTTTAATTTTTCAATTTA